AGTGGCGGTTCGTTCCTCCGGCCGCGCCACACTTTGGAGGACTGTAGGAAGCTGGAGTGCGCTCGCTCAAGCATAATTTGCGGCGCGTTCTGGGCGAGCGGTTGCTCAACGTGGAGGAGTTCTCCACCTGGCTAGCACGGGTGGAGGCCTGTCTCAATTTCAGGCCATTAAGCCCGCTGACAGATGATCCAGAGGATTTGAACGTCCTGACGCCAGGGCATTTCTTAATCGGGCGCCCGCTCAACGCCGTGCCTGAGCCCTGCCTAGCGAGACGAACTTATCTCAGCCGGTGGCAGCTACTTCAGAGCCTCACAGAACATCTGTGGACGCGTTGTACCTCGCGGGAGTACCTCACGCAGCTAAAAGCAAGACGCAAGTGGACGTGGAAGGAAGACCCGCCCCGAGTAGACGACCTCGTCGTGATTCTGGACTCGCGTCTCCCGCCCACGAAGTGGGCTCTGGGACGGATCCAGGAACTGTTCCCGGGCCCCGATGGTCAGGTACGGGTGGCTCGGATCAAAACCGCCGACACGATGTTGACCCGTCCCTTAATTAAATTGGTGAGGCTCCCAGTGACGAGTGCGACGCCCAGCTCCTAGGTCGAGGTGGGATCTGGCCAGTAGGATCCGTCGCAAGGACGGAGGCGGGCGGAATGTTCCGGAAGGCGGCTGGGTGTCAAGCGTGTACGGCGGGCGGTCGAGCCCCAGGCGCCGCGCGACTCACAGCCGCCGGTCTTCCGCCGCCGGTTCGCGCCGTCGCCGCGACGTGGCGATCGCGTCAGCCGGAAGCACTTCTCGCGGTTAATTCTCAGTTAGGCGCCTATATAAGGCGCCACGCGAGACCACTCGACGTCTTTTGATTGCGGTTGCACATCAGGTCACTGCCTCGTTGAGGTATTCTTTTAAAATCCAGCTAGATTCATATCGCCTTCTTGAGTGCGCAAGCACGTTGGGCTTTTGCCTTGCCAGAGGTATACTTTTGCATATCTGCATTGATCTTCGCTGCCTTCAGAGTGTCGTAGATACATTGGCATTTATGTTTAGGTCTTTTTGTGATTCTACACAACTCTCCGCAGCCTTTTAGAGTGCGTTGTACGTTGGGCTATTGCCTCTAGAGTGTCCGAGGACACGTTGGCATTTAGGTTACGAAAGGTGTAGGGTAACTCCTCGGATCTCCACCTTCTCAATACGATCGAGGATTGAGAGAAGGCTTCGCGCGACCACTTCGGATTACCTCGACGCCTCCACCACGGTGGACGTCTCTCTTCGCGACATCTCCCGTATTGCATATACCGAGTATTCGTGCCGACAGAACTTATTACGGTCGGGCTCACGACTCCGCGCGAGTCGTCATTGTCATCAGGAACTCTGCTGCCAGGGCGGCAGCTCTCCCGCGAGCCACGCTCGCTACTGCTCCGCTGCCAGGGGCGCAGCGCTCACGCGAACCAAGTTCGCTGATATAAGTCTACTCACGACTTATAGATCGTCGCATCCGCGACTTTATACGCGAAGAATACTCGCTTCTAGTTTCAACGAGACTCAGGGTTGGTCACACCCGCGGCAATATCAATGCAAGTCACGGTCACGTATAAATCGACGCGAGAATTATACGCCGTCGCACACGCGAACTTCACTCGCGGCTAAATCCTTGCGAACCTTAGTCTTTTTCGCACCGGCGACATCAGCAGCACGGGCCACGTTTGTCTTCAAGTCAACATAAAGCTTAGACTTCCCCGCGATTCAAGCACGCTCGTTACATTCGCGTTTAGAGTCATCACGACACTTCGTCTTGCTGCGTGCGAGACTGTTCAGGCGAGTTCCGCTCGCCTGTTCAGCCTCTGCTGCTCCCACGTCAAACAGAGCTGAATCTCATTCGGACCTGGTTCCGACGCTCACGAAAGGAGACGAATCAGTGTCTGCTACTCTGAGTTATTATCATCCTTCGAAAGGGGGGTTTCTTTCCAACGCGGAGGCGCCGGGCAACTCCACGCGGGCCCTATACTGGGCCACGCCGTGTTCTTACACACAAGAGCACTCTCGTACTTTCCTCACACCATCTTACGAGGCTCCTGAATTGGAGAGCACGACCCATACTCGCGCATTTAACGATAGTAGTCGACGAACGTTTGACGGCATATGAACTAGCCGCTCACCGCCTAAAGCTGTTCGAAACACTCACGGTTTCAGAAATATTCAATCGTACTCAAATATAAATATGGAATTTTTTCCAAGAAATTATTTCTATCCCTAAACTTGAAATCTAATAAGAAGATACGTATTTGTTATTTTTGGCTATTCTATAATATATCTAAAACTCAAAATCCGTATACGATAGTTTCAAAAATTTCCTCGTAAGAATAAGTAATGAATTTAATCTTTCTAATGATAAGAGATGACACATTATTGAGCGTCTAAAATTGGAGATTGATGAAATGTTCACTAATTCTTTAGATATGAAATTTCAAATATTAATTGCCTAAATTGTAAATGATCACTTTTACAAAGTATCTAACTCGTACCGTACCAGAACTAATATATAGCTAGAATAGGTCGGGGAAAACGATGCCTTTTTTTAACGTAAAATTTTAAAATATTAACGACGAAAGACTTTTACCGAGCGGCAGTCCATTGGCCAATCAGCATGCGCGTTGTGGTAAGACAAACGCTATATGCGCTGTCTGATGGGCATGATAAGCCAGGCCAGCATTTTAGCAACGAGGAAAATGGCTGAGAAAGAATATATCACGCTGAGTGAAGGACTAAGAGGCTGACCCGGCTGCCTTCCATGCGACAGCGACAGCACGTATAATGTTTGTTTCACCGCAGCGCACGTGCTGATTGGTCAGTAGGCTGCGGCTCGCTAGAAATCTTTCATTGTTAATATCTTAAAATTTTATGTAGTTGTTTAAAAAAAGACACCGATTTTATTACTTACCCCGACCTATTCTAGCTATATATTAGCTCTAGTACAGTACGTACCAGATACGAATCAGACACCTTGTATATCTCAGTGTGACAAGTAGATATAAATAATCTATATAATAGTCTTAGATATAACACGCGTGGTCCAGCACAAATGAACGAAAGGCAAAAAGTGCATACAAATATGATGGAATTTGAGATTACAATTTCTTTCATGGGCAAATATAGAATTTAGGAAAGTTTGGCAACAATTTTTTGAAGAATTTAGGAAATGCTTCAAGCAACTTATATATTAGTAAAGCTTTTTATGTTCAATGGCTAACTAATTTTTCTGTATAGCGAAAGTGATATGAGTTAATTCCAGAAATAATCATGCTTATATACCATATGTATGATATATGAGCAAATATAAGAATCAAGGGTTCTGAATATTTTGTAGGTATGAATTAAACAAGTTTTTTGGAATATTTTTACAAAAAAATTATAAGATATATCTTTTTTTAACTTTTCAGTATGATGAGTTGAAAATTTTCTTGATTGATAGAATAAAAAATGTTGTCAGTTGCGTAAGAAAGAAACACAATATGTCAGCAAAAAATTGAAGAAGTTGACGATGGCAAGATCGTAAGATTGTTGGTAAACAGAATTTAATATGTTTGAATGTAAGTTAATAGATGAATCTTAGCCGAGAGAGCTAAGAGCGGGGAGAGTATATTGAAAATAAAATCACGGTAAATGTTCACTTTAGGGGAGTCACCTTGATCACATTGACATTGACATATATTATAGAGGTCATCCTCCTGAATAACCTTCGAAAGGTTTTAGCCGTCGCTCATTGTTTGTTAAAAAGTTATTGATGAAAGAAATTCGAAAAATATATTACAATTTTTCGATAATGTGTACCGTTAACGAGCAATATCGAATAATAATATATATTATAATTATAATATATAATAAATTATTTATATATTACATTTATTATATTTATATTATTATATTTATATTATATATTTATAATATATAATTTATAATAAATTTATTCAGTAAAATTTCCGCTAAGTGGATAGAAATAAGCCATAATTTCAAAAAATTTATCGATTCAATTCGATCAACATACAATGGTAGTGTGTGTCAGGACATGATCATAACATGATTATCAACATTGAAATCGTACATACGATCAAAACAAAACCCGCGCAATATACCCTGTGTGCAAAAATTACGTTCAACTTTTTCTTAGTAAGTACTGCAATATCGAACAACTAGCGGGGGGCTCGCCCCCCCCGCACCCCCCCTCAAAACTAACCTAACTCAACCTATCGTCACATTAACACAAAAGTTGAACACTTTAATAAACAATGACTGACGCTTAGTGACGATAGGTTGGGTTAGGTTAGTTTTTAGGGGGAGTGCGGGGGGCGCAGCCCCCCGCTAGTCGTTCGAGATTGCAGTACTTACTAAGAAAAAGTTGAACGTAATTTTTGCACACAGGGTATATTGCGCGGGTTTTGTTTTGATCGTATGTACGATTTCAATGTTGATAATCATGTTATGATCATGTCCTGACACACACTACCATTGTATGTTGATCAAATTGAATCGATAAATTTTTTGAAATTATGGCTTATTTCTATCCACTTAGCGGAAATTTTACTGAATAAATTTATTATAAATATTGAATAAATAATTTTTTCAATATAATTTATTTATCCTGTGCACTGTTTACCTTATCTTTATGTACATTGTGTGCAAAAATTACGATCAATTTTTAAAACATTTTTTGTTAATAACTTTTTAACAAATAACGAGCGACGGCTAAAACCTTCTGAAGGTTACTCAGGAGGATGACCTCTATAATATATGTCAAGGTCAAGGTGATCAAAGGTGACTCTCTTAAAGTGAACATTTACCGAAATCACTCATCAATATGCTGTATCTGGGAAATCATTCAACATGAAAATAATCATTCAGAAAGATGTTGACGAAAATTACGAGTTTAATGTATTCAAAGCGAGGAGGAAAGAGACTTGCTTTTTTTACTTTAAAAATTCTGTAATAGCCGGCAACATTGTCTTTTACCTGTCGTAATCGATTACTTTCACTATGAGACTGACATCCTCGATATTATCCGCGGGTACATCAAATACTAGCGCCTCGTTGTACACGGGATAAAGAGAGTTTTTTTTCACCGTAGTCTTTTTCTTCTTTATTCTCTTACCTTGGCACAGCAAATAGACTTTCACATAAGGATCTAAAGAAAAATCAAAATGAATTTTGATAATTATATCTCTTCGTGTTATGACTAATAAGTTTTATTTTAATATCGTAATTGTAATGAAATTATGTCATCCATAAATATAGTGAGAGAATACATACGACCCGTTCTATACTCACCTGATTTCCCCGTTATGTCCATCACTTTAAGATTTCTGGCTTTGACCACGGTTAATGTCAATCGACCAGCCGTTGGCAAGTAACATAAAGACAACATTAATTCTCCCAAATCCACCTTCTCCTACGCAAGACATTAAACAGTTGATTAAAACTACGCATCGCGTATAATATCTGAAATTATTAATCTTTTATCTCATGTAAGGTACCTGTAAGGCGCAAAGGATGTCCATCGTATATTCAATTTCTTGCTCGAGATCGGTACAATCTAAAAGTCCTTTAAGAACCACTTGTCCAATAAGATCGTGACGTGAAAATCGGTCAAAGTCGTAAACCGAGAATTGCAAGTAACGTTCTCTCAGTTCCTCATACGATACGCTGACGAGATAAATATAATATCGAGTTTAGCAAATTAATTCTTAATTAATTTCTTGTTAAAATTGTATTGTAAATGTACAAATAAATTCGGTATCTTTTATTTACACAATTTAAAATTTATTCGTAAAAAGTAAGAACTATCTCAATCATCGAAATACTCTTCATAATTCTCAATAATTTTTTGCTTCATCTATCGAGCAACTGATCTACCCTTAGTAGACTGACGAAACTCACTAAGAGCTTAAAAAAAGTACTGTAGTATGGTCTACATATAGGGTCCCAGAACAGTGGTGCTAATACTCGTGAAGGCGTAGAAAATTGTAGAAAAAATTGTAGAAAATGATTAAAAAGAGAGTGTGGCTAGATAATAAATGAATAGCGCTCGAGCCGTTTAGTGGAGTTTAACGAAAGCCAATTTATCTAGCAACTGATGCCAGCACGCGATGAAGGGAAAGACAACGCGCCGCTGCCCACGTATATGAAGTTATAGAGTTAGTCTCGCACTTTTCAAATCCTGTATTAAATTGTATATCAACTTACTTAAATATATTGCATTATGCTACGTTTGTGCCGTATTGTACCGTATCTCAGTAATTAAAAGCGTATTTAAGATAGCTAAAAAAACCAAATTTTTGCTAATTCCGCAGTTTTCAAATTTATGTTCTCTTTAACACGTCCGAATTTATGTTCTCTTTAACACGTTTCGCTTTAAAATGACATAAATTTTGTCTTTTTTTCATTACAATAATTTTGATAGAAAACGTTCATAGATCTTTCAATACTCTATAGATGTAAGACATGCTCTTTCTGAATCTGAAGTCCATTTTTTGCTATCACGCGCCATTTATTCAATATGGCGGCTGAAACGCCAAAAATTGAAAAAATAGAGTATTGTTTATTTGTATCTCACTTTCCGGCATGATCCTGTCATAGGATAGTGCTAGTTGTCTGGATCTGGTAGCATAATGTCCTTCACTAAAATATGGTGCTATGCAGATAAAAAAATTCATTATGGCGCATTCAATATGGTAGCTTTTATAAGAAAATTTTTGTTTTTATTGCTTTTTTAAGATTATTTATCACCCACTTGCACTTGCGTGATTTGTAGTATTAAAATATGATTTAAATGAAATTAAACTGCAATGTACCACGACATAACCAAACAAATTCAAAATGGCGGTGATTTTCAAGTTTTTTGTAAAATTTTGAGTTTTTATTTTGAGTTTTTATTTTTTTGTAACAAACTTGATTATTCTTTCACGCTTTTGTTAATTCTCAGGCTTACACATCTGAAAAATAGTAACAGCAGCAAAATATTATAGTTCCAAGATGTAACATAACCTCTAAACACCATACTGAGCTTGATTTTTACAGTAACTTATGATATTATCGTATTTTAATTGCATTTCTTTTTTTTGCTGTGTAATTCAACAGTAGTATTATTTTCAAATAAGTTTTCCAACTCGAACATGATTGTATAACCATAAATTGCAAAAATGTGTTCAACTATTCTATTATGTCAAACCTATGGATCTATTATATATTATATTCTATACTTATTACATAGCAAAAAAAGAAATGCATCTAAACTACAATAATATCGCCATAAATTACTGTAAAAATTAAGTTCAAGTTATGGTGTTTAGAGATTGTTATATCTTAGAACTATAATATTTTGCTGCTGTTACTATTTTTCAGAAGTATAAACCTCAGAATCAACAAAAGCATGAAAGAATAATTGGGTATATGACAAAAACGAATAAAACTCAAAATTTTACAAAAAAACTGAAGACCCGAAAATCTCCGCCATTTTGGATTGTTTTGATTATGTCGTGGCACATTGCAATTTAATTTCGTTTAAATCATATTTTAATATTACAAATCACGCAAATGCAAGTGGGTAATAAATAATCTGAAAAAAGCGATAAAAACAAAAATTTTGTTTAAAAAGCCGCCATATTGAATGCGCCATAATGAATTTTTTGATTTGCATAGTATTTGATTTGCATAGTACTATATTTTAACTAAAGACATTATGCCTCCAGATCCAGACAACTAGCACAATCTTATGACAGGATTATGCCGAAAAATGAGAAACAAACAAACGATATTCTATTTTTTCAATTTTTTTTGGCGTTTCAGCCGCCATATTAAAAAAATGGCGCGTGATAGGAAAAAATACACTTCAGGTTCGGAAAAGGCATGTCTTACATCTATAGAGTATCGAGTTCCGGAAAGATCTATAGACGTTTTCTGTCAAAATTATTATAATTAAGAAAAGACAAAATGTAGGTCATTTTGAGGCAAAACGGGTTAAAATGGTTGGATGGTCACATTGTTTGTGACTGGTATCAAAATCCCACTTTCTCAGAGAGGTTTCTAAATTTTTATTTACAACACCCACTCAGTCATGAGACCGGATGGTTAAGTCTTTGGTCGATCGTGCTCTCAAGCTTTCGCACTCCATGTATCACGAGAAAAATCTCCGTTCTGTCATACAGCTTCTCCTTGACAACAGCTATCTTCTCGCTTTCATTTTTTACATTATCGATAAACGTGTTGGTGGATTAATATCTGATATAGTGTTTCTGAAAAAAACTGACGAAGAGAAGTCGGGAGAGACAGAGAACAGCGGCACAAACTTTTCTACCCTGCCTTACCTGCCTTGACATGAAAGATGTCGCAGGCAACCTTTCTAGACTTATAGGAAGATCAAACTATCAACTAGTATTTAAAGTCACCAATAAGCTCGACCGTTTTATTCATGGTCACAAAGACCGCTTGAACATACATATCTTGTCTACAAAATCAATTGTGTCGATTGCGATACATTTTAGGTGGGTTAAACGAAGAGAGAGTTGGGTACGCGTGTGAAAGGGCATAGAACTTACATCTCGCGTTATACAACATCTCCGTCACCGATCACAGATCGCAGACTGCAGTTAGACTGCATAATTTTGATTGGAAGAATGTGTTGATTCTGGACAAGAAGCCTAATTATCACAAATGTCTTTTTTCGGAAATGTTTCACATTAAAGGCCAGGTCAACGGTTTGAACTTGCAGTCTGACATAAACAGACTTGATCGTGTTTATTTTCTTCTGCTTGATATGACCCGTGTAAGACGATGACTTCTATCAGTCTTACTTTCTTCTCTCGTTTCTAATTTTCAAATACGTTTTTACATATGGTATTTGGACGTTTTACGTATGGTTTTTAACGTTTTTACGTTTTTGGTATTTGGATTACTGTGTTTATGATGGATGTTTTTGCTGATATGTCTCTGATTGTTTCTTTTTGTCGTCTTACTTTTAATGCTAATGTTAGAATTCATGTTCACACTTCGTGTCTATTAATTTGTTTTCAAACTTCTATATTGACTGTAGGAGTGCAGGAGCTCTTCCTTTTTTCATATCCGTGATAAGGAAGTAATTATTGTATTAGTTGTAATTTTCTAATTTTTAGAGTAGTGGTTCTTTATTCGGTTTTTTTTCTCACCGTTCTTTTTTCTTTTGTTCTTTTCGTGGTTTCCTTACATAGCCTACGAACACCGACATGTCAAAGGAAACTATCCGTGACAATTTATATTTCGCTAACATGACACCAGCATCGAGCGACTTTTATGACGTAATGAAATTACATTGACCGAATTAAATTGAAGAGGACTACATCAAATGGTCGAAACGCATTTTTTTGTGATTTGAATAAATAATTCTATGGCTCATAACTTCGGCAAATTTGGCTCTTTACGTCCTTATTTATTTTTGTAAAGTGCATACAAAAATATTTTTTGCACCAAGTACAACGTATTACAGGTGCATCACATATGGAGCAGCGTGTACCTTGTTTTCCAAAGAAACTGAAGTCTATTGAATTTTGGAAGTATAATGGCCGTTCATTATTAAAATCTTAGAGATGATAACTGTATATGCGTCAAGTATTGTAATTTAATAATGTTATTTTTCAAATGTATATTGACATTATAATTGAATAATACAATAATATCACTAAATGTTCTTTTTCTCTCTCACAAAGTTCTTCTATATTCTAAATCTATAAACATTAAAAGATTGAATCATTTCTGTAGTCTTTTCTGGTATCATTAAAATTCATACGTCCTTATCCGTCCTTGGCATAAAGTTTTATAGCCCTGATAGCACAACTTTTAGGAAATAATATGACGATATCCAAATGAAATTGATAATACAGCAATTATGTATAGCAATATTTCACAAATAACTTGTAGAAAGATAGAGGATTTATAAAATATTGTGAATTCTTTGCGCAATTTATTTTTAAATATAATTTCAGCAAAACCGTAGCGATAAGGCGAGTCATCTTAGAGGAATGTTTGCACAATGTAATGTAGAAATAAATTATTCAATAATTACGAAAGATATTTTAGTTGTATTGTTTAACAAACATTAAGAAATACAATTAAGAAATACAATTGAATATAAGCAAATATGAAGTAATTCATATATATGTTTGTAGAAATTACGTAATTATTCCAAAATTATAATTTCAAAACTTTGTAACAGAAAACATTATATATTTAGCATGATAAAGATATAAAAACAATGAATAGAGATAGTTTTAATGTTATTTTATGACTCCTGCCCACAGGAGCACCGCGGAAATTGGAGCGATAGGTAAATCAACGTGGTGTTTCCCGTGAAAAGTTAATACAGAAAGCAGCATATTGATTGGTTATCGCGCAAACTTTCGCCGCGCGATAAGCTTTGTCCTATGTGCACAAGGCATTATATTTGTAAACTGAGCATTCTGAAATATCGTAAAGTTACAAAAGTTTTCTGAAATAGTCGAATAACTACTAACTGTCTTGAGGCTGCAAACCACTTAGGGTACGTTCCACTTAAGGTGCCATTACTCTCGACGCTTCCATGTAAAAATATCTTAACGCTAAGAAGGAAAAGATGAATAATGTATTTGATCTTATTGCATTGGAAAGAAATTATTGAATTTTCAGCTAACAAGAAA